ACTGAGCATAATATTAAGCTTTAGGCTAAAACAAACTTTAGTTTTTGAATGTATCCCTGCTGAAAAACCCATAGAAGCCATTAAGCATTTCTTTTGGTTTCTGATGGTTTTGTAAAGTGTTTTTTTCTTATGCTTTAACTGGTTATCAGTGATTGATTCGTATGTTAGCGACGGTCTCCCTTCCTGAATGGTAATAATCATTGCGACACATACAACCAGCACAAACAGTCACTGTTTGCATCAGAGATGTTATAAATGAGGAAACAGGCCACTGGTTGCAATATGAATGGGAAGCTCGTAACGCTCAACTTTCCTCTAAGGACTATGTTTACATGACACAATTGCGCTGTCCTACTGCGCCTGCGTTCTCCTGGCCTGAAACTGCGGGTGTAAATCTGCAGCTCTGCAGTCGGATCCTTCTCGTTAGGTTTGGAGGCTGAGAGAAAACTGGCTTCCACCAACCTTGTACCGAAGCACAAGCCTTCCAGAAGGCACTTTATTAATAATCTAAACTGCAACTGCAACATTTTCAACACAAAATGAACCCCTTGGATCACGAAACAGACATGACAGCATGCGAAGATCACTGGGATCAGCTCATCCTTTTACAGAGGAATAAACAGAACGATGGCACTTATTCAGCAGCTAATATGTTTAATGAACAGATCGGGATTTGTTTGCTTCAGCATATGGAGTCTTTAAAAATCTGTCTGAATCATCAAAAGAATCAGGCCATTTAAGCAAGCTTATTAGTGGCACTCAGTAGCACTAATGCTAACCAATCAGCACTCAGTGGCAGTAATGCTAACCAATCATCATTCAGCAGCTGTAATGCTAACCAGTCAGCACGCAGTGCAGAAATGCTAGCCAATCAGCACTCTGTAACCGTAATGCTGACCAATCAGCGCTCAATAACAGTAATGCTAACCAATTAGCCCTCAGTAGCAGTAATGCCAACCAATCAGTACTCAGTATTGGTAATGAAAGACAATACATCACTCAGTAGCAGTAATGGTAACCAATTAGCACTCAGTAGCAGTAATGCCAACCAATCAGTACTCAGTATTGGTAATGAAAGACAATACATCACTCAGTAGCAGTAATGGTAACCAATTAGCACTCAGTAGCAGTAATGCTAACCAATCAGCACTCAGTAGCTGTAATTCTAACCAGTCAGCACTCAGTAGCAGTAATGCTAACCAATGAGCGCTCAGTAGCAGTAATGCTAACCAATCAGCACTCAGTGGCAGTAATGCTAACCAATCATCATTCAGCAGCTGTAATGCTAACCAGTCAGCACGCAGTAGCAGTAATGCTAGCCAATCAGCACTCAGTAACCATAATGCTGACCAATCAGCGCTCAATAACAGTAATGCTAACCAGTTAGTCCTCAGTAGCAGTAATGCCAACCAATCAGTACTCAGTATTGGTAATGAAAGACAATACATCACTCAGTAGCAGTAATGCCAACCAATCAGTACTCAGTATTGGTAATGAAAGACAATACATAACTCAGTAGCAGTAATGGTAACCAATTAGCACTCAGTAGCAGTAATGCTAACCAATCAGCACTCAGTAGCTGTAATTCTAACCAGTCAGCACTCAGTAACAGTAATACCAACCAATAAGCACTCAGTAGCTGTAATTCTAACCAATAAGCACTCAGTAACAGTAATGCCAACCAATAAGCACTCAGTAGTAGTAATGCTAACCAATAAGCACTCAGTAGCTGTAATTCTAACCAATAAGCACTCAGTAACAGTGATGCCAACCAATGAGCACTCAGTAGCAGTAATGCGAACCAATCAGCACTCAGTAGCAGCAATGTCAGCGTCCTGCTGCCCAAAATCCGTTTGCTGTAGAAAAAAAGGAAACATACAGTTGAGTTTTCTTTGCTTTTTTAGTGAAATACATCCTTCTACTTTCTAAAATTAAAGGACCTGAAGCACAAACCTTCCAGAAGGCACTTTATTAATAATCTAAACTGTCACTGCAACATTTTCAACACAAAACAAATGAAACCCTTGGATCACGAAACAGACATGACAGCGTGTGCAGATCACTGGGATCAGCTCATCCTTTTACAGAGGAATAAACAGACCGATGGCACTTATTCAGCAGCTAATATGTTTAATGAACGCATCGGGATTTGTTGGGAGTCTTTTGAATTCTGTGCGAATCATCAAAAGAATCAGGCCTTTTAAGGAAGCTTATTAGTGGCAGCCAGCCTGATAGTTCGCTTCTGGATCCTAGCGGCTACATAAAGGTCACACTTTCATACCCGCCCCCTCACAGATCTGCCCATTTACCACAGATCTTTGATTAACACTGCTGATCTAGGATTACTTTCTGCTTTTGTTTCATAAAGGACTTGATTTCAAACCCAGCAGGACCTGACTGCACATCAGAGGACTAACTCTGACAAACGTGACACTTAGCACGTTGCTAATGTTTGGATTCAGCTTGTGTAGTGCGGCGCGATTCGCTTGGGTAGCAGTGTCTTCTCAGACAGCGTTATGGCAGAGTTCACGGGTTAAATGTGCAATAAACCTACAGAATTTAATGGCTGTCGCAGTTCCAGTCATTATTAGCTCATTTGCTAATGCCTCGCTAATGCCCTCAGGCTAATCTCACTCTGGAACCTGACCTACAGTTCACTCATCATATTACTAACTGCTGTTATTTTAGTCAGTAATAAAAAAAGAAAAAAAATATTTTAAAAACTTTATTATCCAAGCTTCTTATATAAGCTTAGACGGGAACAGCAATAATGTAGTAAATATACTATTTCATTGATTTTCTTGAAGTATAGTTTATAGTGTTATACTGAAGATGTTATTGTGATGATACTGATACTGAACGTTGTTCTGTTTCTGTAAACGACCTTCATCATTATTCAGGTGTGAGATCAGAGCTCTTTACTGCGGCTCTCCTTAAAAACAGTGACTGTTAGAACACAGGCTGAGCTCTCCTTCTCTCCCTCCCTCTCTCTCTCTCTCTCTCTCTCTCTCTCTCTCTCTCTCACTCTCTCTCTTTCCATCTCTGAATATCTCTCTTTTACTCTCCTCATCTCTGTATGTCTCTCTCTCTGTGTTTATCTCTGTATGTCTCTCTCTCTCACTGTCTTTATCTCTGTATGTCTCTGTCTCACTCTCTTTATCTCTGTATGTCTCTCTCTCACTTTATTTATCTCTGTAGGTCTCTCTCTCAGTCTTTATCTCTGTATGTCTCTCTCTCTCTCTTTATTTATCTATGTATGTCTCTCTCTTTCACTCTCTATCTGTGTATCTCTCTCACTTTATTTATCTCTGTATGTCTCTCTCTCTTTCACTCTCTATCTCTGTATGTCTCTCTCTCTCTCTTTATTTATCTCTGTATGTCTCTCTCTCTCTTGCTGTCTTTCACTCTCTTTATCTCTGTATGTCTCTCTCTCTCACTCTCTTTATCTCTGTATGTCTCTCTCTTTCACTCTCTATCTCTGTATGTCTCTCTCTCTCTTTCACTGTCTTTATCTGTTTTCTTTCTTTTTCTCTCTCTCACTATCTCTCTTCATCTATGTATATCTCTCTCCCCTTCCTTCTCTCTTTATCTCTGCATGTCTCTCTTTAATTCTCTCTCTTCATCTCTTTGTCTCTCTCTCTCTTTCACTCTCTTCATCTCTGTATCTCTCTCTCTTTATCTCTGCATGTCTCTTTCACTCTCTCTTGTCATCTCTTTATGTCTCTCTCTCTTTTACACTTTATCTTTGTCTCTCTCTCTCTCTCTCTGTTTATCTCTGTATGTCTCTCTCTTACTCTCTTCATCTCTCTATGTCTCTTTCTTTCTCACACTTTCTTTATTTATTTCTGTCTTTCTGTTTGTCTGTCTCTTTTCCTCTTTCTTTTTGTCTCTCTCAATCTCTGGTTCTCTCTCTTTCTCTTTCCCTGTCTCTGTGTTTCTCTAGCTCCCTCTCTCTCTCTTTCTGTCTGTAACTCTCTCTTTCTCTCTCTCTCCCTCTCTCTCTCTCTCTCTCTGTAACTCTCTCTCTCAGTGTTCCTGATGGTGAGTCTGTCTCTGTGTGTATGATGTGTCTGAATGTTAAGCCTTGACTAACAGTCGAACTGCAAATAGGTAAACATTTTGGTAACGATTCCAAAAACGATAACGGCCTCGTTATTGCTCTCTCTCTCTCTCTCTCTCTCTCTCTCTCTCTCTCTCCTCGTCCCATGCTCGTTTATTTACAGTTCAGTAATTTCCTCTTCGTGGGAGCTCATTGACCTAATCAGCTGGATATTTGCGAGGCGGCAGTCGTTTATGCAGTTATTCGCTTGTTTGAAGCTCTGTAGATCAAACCGATCAGAGCGACAGTGCAGTCTCGTTCTGAAACACCTTCCCATGAGCCTCCTCCCAGTATACCCTCTCCCCCTCCTGTGGACCGCAGTCTGACGCCTGAGCTGAACGGCGAGGTGGTGAAAAAACACAGCAGCTAATTTCACAATGAATCACGAAGAACTTCAGACACAGATGCTGCCACTTTCCACTTTATTAGGTACACCTATGGCTGCACCTATGTCACGCACATTCAGGGCCGGCAACTCTCACGCATTGTACGCGAGACTCCTGCAGTCAGGTCTCACGCATCACACACTCTCACGCTGCACTCAGCATTTCTCACACACTTTCAAGGCTCATTTATACTCCCTTTACGTACAAATAAGAACACGTCCATTTCAAACGACGTAACCGTCACTGCCCACATACTTCCACTTTACGTTAGCATGGATGATCCACTAGAGGGCAGTCTAGAGTCAAAAGCAACCAAAAATGTCTAAAGTGAATTAGCTTGACCAAGTGTGGCAGACCATGGTTGGAACTAGACTGTCCAGAATCAGGGTTGGTGACCACTGCATTATATTTGCATTACTGTAATGTGACCATTTGTTACAGTAAAGTAGTACAATCACAATAAGGGCGCAGAGCTGCAGTGTACAGTACTATGAGGTCACATGACACTGACTGACCAGCAGAGATGGTCCAGACAGCAGTGATCTTGGCACGGGCGCGGGAGCGGGAGTTGGAGCGGCTGTGGTGGAATGGGTTACGGATGGCCACATAGCGGTCCAGAGAGATGGCACACAGGTGCATGATGGATGCCGTGGACAGCAGGACGTCCAGGTAGATCCACACTGGGCACAGGACAGCAGGGAGTGGCCATGAGTAATCTGAAAAACACACACACACACACACAGTAAGTATACATTCTGACAATAAGAAGGCTTATATACCCAAATATATACCTATTATATATTAATATATAACTGTTAGTACTAACAATTACAGCATGCCCTCACTGGCCACTTTATTAGAAACACCAACCTTGTGCTTCCACTCACTGGCCACTTTATTAGAAACACCTAGCCTGTGCTTCCACTCATTGGCCACCATATACAAGACCAGATACAGTCGTGTGTAGCAGTGGAACTGCATTCTCTAGAGTGATGGAGCGCCATCCAATACCCTCAGTACCTGACCTCATTGATGCTCTTGTGGCTAAATGCAATCAAATCCTTGCAGCAATGTTCCAACATCTAGTGTAAAGCCTTCATAGAAGAGTAAAGGCATGCAGGGTGCTGTGAGGGAAAATAGAAAACTTATTTTTTTCAGGATTTCCACTATTTTCCCATCATCAACATTCCACATAAACCTCAGAAGACTCGTGTAGGTTCACTGGTGGTTTTGGACAGTAAATAAAATGTCTGTATTTGTGTTGTAGTCATGGCGACCCCTGTTTTCTATCACCACCACTGTAAAGACATCTAAACCATTTCACAGCAAACCACTCTGAATCACCCCACAATGTTTACCCCATAATAACTGAACCAGTCAAAAATTTTGGAACAATCGGTGGAATTTTTTTAAATCAATAAAACTGTTCAGAAAATTATCTCTAAATTTTTACTCAAAACTATCCTAAACAAATTTCAACTTAATTGGCCCTTAAAGTGGAACCTTGAGCATTAGCTAAGAGCTGACCGAGGTATAGTAGCCCTAGCTGACCAATAAATAAATAGCACGTTTTTAGTCTTTTCGCTGCATCAGATAGAACCTGTTACCAATGCTACTTTAGCAATGTTGGTTAATACTGTTCAGTGATTATGTCTGAAGGAAGGGCTTCAGCCCATAGAAAGGCTGGTTAAACTCAGTGCGCTCAAGCAGAAAATAACCGTCCTCCGGAAACTGCCGTCCCGTTCCGAAGAGCAGCTCCGAAAGCAGGGAGGAGAAATGGGATGAGGGTGAGAGGTGAAGTGAGAATAGAATAAAACAAAAAGATGAATAGAGGAGCAGGCGAAGGGGAGAGACGGCGGTGAGAAGGGCGGCTTGGTGAAGGGGAAAAGAAGCATGGTGAACAGACAGCGGAGAGAACGTGGGGGAAGTGAGTTACAGAAAACAACTGCAGGGAGAACGTTTATCTCCATAGTGTGAGTGTGAGTGTGTATTCATATCTCTGTGGGGACCACATGTCTTCAGTGTGATGAAAATATTTTGATGTTGTTGGGACGTGAGTGAACAGTGATCATCACTGTTCTGATTGTCTGTTTCATAAAAGTTGTTTAACTAAAGTTGCGTGAAGGTTTCATCATGTAAGCCTTGGGGGAAAAAAAACAGCACAGATCAGCATGATTTCCATGGTGGTCTAAGCTGATTTATGCTGGTTTATGCTCGTCAACCAGCACACAAGCCTCAAAAACACAACAGTCGTAGAGAAGCAAGTAGAAACGCCCCACAAAAACATCAATACATACTATCTGCTTGCATGCGTTTATACAGGAATTGAAGAAAATCAATCTCTGCGAGACGGAGAGATAGAAAGCACTCCAGGCACAACAAACCTCCTTGGCGTCTGCTGAGAGACTGGGTCAATATTTGTCCAGCTTCTAGAACCTCACTTCTCCTTCTTTTGGTGTCTTTTTGCAGCTGGAACTCGTTCTGTATCACAAATCATACAGACTGCCTCACGTAAATTAACTCCTCAACCCAGGCAGCGGGCCGCGTTTGGACATCCGGTGTCCTCTCACCATAAAGGCTACTTTGGAAACTCAACCATACATAATTAAATAATGTCCTTTTACCTTTGAAATGCTAACATACACGCCTGGCCAGACTCTTTTCTCACAGGGAATTGGCCTCAGCTATCTGAGGGCGAAATGTAAGAGACGAACATTTGCCTCCCTGTAGCACATTTAACTTAACAGCTGAGAAAATCAGTTGTCTAGCTAACAAGCTAACTGGTCACCAGTAAATAAGCAACATTAAGTGACCCTTATTAGTCCCACAACAGGGAAATTTCACCTCTGCATTTAACCCATCCATGCAGTGAAACACCACAAACACTAGGGGGAAGTGAGCACACTTGCCCAGGGCGGTGGGCAGCCCTATCCACAGAGCCCGGGGAGCAGTTGGGGGTTAGGTGTCTTGCTCAAGGGCACTTCAGTCGTGCACTGTCGGCTCAAGGGATCAAACCGGCAACCTTCCGGTCACAGCGCTTCTTCTGAGACCTGTGAAGCTCCGCCGCATCTTTTTGAACTGCCGCTCACGCAACGTAATTGGACAGCTGAACGCGCTCGGAGGTGAACGCTAACCGCCAGATCTGTTACGTCAGCTCATTATGGCTGTTCTGATTGGCTGTTTCTTGCCTCATCATGTAAAGTCAATCTAAAACATAAAAAGCTGTGCTTCAGTAGCAGTCGCAAAATGCAAGCCTCTGCTGATAATACCTGAGCAAGGAACAGAATAACTGTTAGCTGTTAGCATTAGCATTAGTGCCCAGACATAACTCATTTTTATTGTTCTATCCTTTTTTGTTATCATTTTAGAGCCTAGGCCTAACTTGTATTAGCCTCCCTCTACCCCTGTGATCGGTCTCTGACCACACTGTGGCTCTTGAACTGATGATTTGCAAAACTGTTGTACCAGAAACCACGTAATCAAGACTTTTGGAGATGACCTAACAACTCCACAAAGTCAGAGGCAGGTCTGTGATGATCTGTGCTGGCATTAGCACCATGCTAATTGCTGAGTACAAGTTTCAGCTGCTTGTTAGCTACATTAGCCTTGTAGCTCGCGGTGTAAAATGAATGAAGCAAACTTCAGATACTAAACCTGCCTTGGATGACTGAATACATTTGGAGTACGAAGGAAAAACTGGGTACATTTGTTTTTGTTTTTTTTGCCAAAATATGTGCGAAAGCTTCACACACTTTGCAAACTTCGCTGTACCTATTCTTGCGTTTTGTGTGCCATCACACTGTATAGTCGCCGCCATTTTGAGGACTGAATCAGGGAGTGACTGAGCTGCACGATGCCTTCAATTTGCTGTGCTTTGTAAATGATTCACCTGCAAGACGCGACAGAAGCTGAGAGACGAGAGACACACAGACCTTTAATTCAGTGTTTTCACTCCAGGCTTGGAGCCGCTGCACTGTATAGTTCAGTGTTCCTCTCTGCTGTTCACCTCGTTCAGCTCAAGAAGGGATTAATCAGCTAATAATATCAGGTATTTTAACCAGGAAACCACAGTTATGCAGTGCAGGGGTTTCAGGACTGGAGCTGGAAACTCACTAACTGCACTAGCAAACTTACAGAATCACGTCTGTCGAAACACGACGTCGTTTTCCGACCCACAACATTCAGTCTGATATTTAACGCTTATGTTTCTCATTTAAATCTCCAGAAACAGAGAGTAAAGTTATCCCGGCTGTCTGCAGCTCCGTTAGGGGGCGACTGTTCATCTCTCGGCTGTTAACATCAGCTAAAGTTATCTAAAGGCCAGCAATGTTCACATCTGTGTTAATTAGCTGATGTCGTTACCCTCCTATGATCACAGAGTTTATCTCCTCTTTATGCAGCACCATGGGATCCTTTACCCACCCTGACGTGAAGAGCCGGTGGGCTTCTGTGCTCTTAAATGCTTTGAGAGACTCCCCAGAATAGGGAGAGGGGTTGTGTATGAGATAAATGTAAATGTCAGGAAAACACTAATTTAGTAGCTTTCCGCCAGTTTAAGTGGAACCAGGAGTTCAGAGGAAGCTGTATAAGGATCACAGCCTGATTTATCGACTTTGTTGAGGAAACATTTTTCTCTTCCACAGTAAGGAGAGTAATTTTAGCCATCTTTCACCTCCAGTTATGTTTGTGCGGAGCAGTGAAGCCAGAAATTCGGTCCCAAATACCACATCACTGAAACCCTAGGATTAGTAATAATACTGTGGTAGCTGCGACAGGCCGCACTGCTGTGAGGAGCTTAGGCTCTTGGGAGGCACCGCACTCCCAGATACTAACTGTGTTAGTTGTAATAGTTGCACTTATTACAGTAATTGTGTCCATGAAGGGTGGGCTTTGTAGTGTAACTAGTGGTTAGAAGTGTCTATTCTCTTTGTGTGTTGTGTCCTCCTGCCTTACCCACTCCCTGTGTTTCATGTTGGGGGAGCACTAGGGTGGGCTGCCTGTTAATACATGCAATGTTTTCCATGTTGTTTTCTACACCGATGCTACAATATATTCTTCAAAACTGTATGAAATAACATCCCTTATTACATGTAAGTGTCTATATACAATAATATGTCCCATGTGTATTATATCTATATGTAAAACACATTTTCTAAATCTAACCCTAACCTTCACCTTAGGAACCAGAAAGAAATGGTTTTGGTCTTTTGGTTTTTCAGAGGGATGGAGACCACCACACACACACACACACACCAAATCTCTTTATCTTTCTCTCTTTGTTGTGTGCAGCTTATCAGAGGGATGCATCCCAGATAAGCCCGGAAATCTGAACAGCGCTTTGGGTCCAGCGCTGCTGATATGAGCACAGCTCCTCTACAGACACAAACACACACTCACAAGACACAAAAGACTTTAATCAAGCCTGACATTCTGTCCCAACCCAACTGTAGCACAACAAAATCCTGTCTGATCCCGACTGTACCACGACACATTTCTGTCCCAACCTAAATGTACTGCAACAAAATGCTGTTTGAACCTGACTGTAATGCAGCGAAATTCTGTCTGAACTCGACTGTAGCCCAACAAAATTCTGTCTGAACTCGACTGTAGCCCAACAAAATTCTGTCTGAACTCGACTGTAGCTGATAAAATTCTGTCTGAACCGACTGTAGCCCACAAAATTCTGTCTGAACTCGACTGTAGCTGATAAAATTCT